TGGGAGGCCGAGGCGGGTGGATCACGAGGTCAAGAGATCGAGACCATCCTGGTCAACATGGTGAAACCCCATCTCTACTAAAAACTACAAAAGGCCGGGCGCGGTGGCTCAAGCCTTTAATCCCAGCACTTTGGGAGGCCGAGGCGGGTGGATCACGAGGGCAAGAGATCGAGACCATCCTGGTCAACATGGTGAAACCCCGTCTCTACTAAAACTACAAAAAAAAAATTAGCTGGGCATGGTGGCGCATGCCTGTAATCCCAGCTACTCAGGAGGCTGAGGCAGGAGAATTGCCTGAACCCAGGAGGCGGAGGTTGCGGTGAGCCGAGATCGCGCCATTGCGCTCCAGCCTGGGTAACAAGAGCGAAACTCCGTCTCAAAAAAAATAAATAAATAAATAAAATAAAATAAAATAAATTCCCACACCGTCCTGTTGAGATGTGAATCATCCGTTTGTACAGTGTATCCGCTATAACCTCCTTAATGACTTAGTAGCAGTCTCATCAGATAGACTGTGGCAATGTGCAGTATCCAAGTGCTTGTGTTCAACTAACCCTTATTTTCCTTAATAAAGGCCTCAAGGCCGGGCCCGGTGGCTCACGCCTGTAATCCCAGCACTTTGGGAGGCCGAGGCGGGTGGATCACGAGGTCAAGAGATTGAGACCATCCTGGTCAACATGGTGAAACCCCGTCTCTACTAAAACTACAAAAAATTAGCTGGGCATGGTGGTGCGTGCCTGTAATCCCAGCTACTCAGGAGGCTGAGGCAGGAGAATTGCCTGAACCCAGGAGGCGGAGGTTGCGGTGAGCCGAGATCGCGCCATTGCACTCCAGCCTGGGTAACAAGAGCGAAACTCCGTCTCAAAAAAAAAAAAAAAATTAGCCAGACATAGTAGTGCATACCTGCAGACCCAGCTACTGGGTGGGAGGCTGAAATGGGAGGATTGCTTGAGCCTGGAAGATCAAGACTGCAGTGCACCGTGATTGCCCCACTGCAATTCAGCCTGGGCAACAGAGTGAGACCCTGTCTCAAAAAGAAAAAAAATTCTAAAGGGATGAAATTCAGCTTTTTTCTTTTCTATGAATTTCTCCATACCCAAGGTAGAAGTTGAATTAGAAACCAAATCATGGCCAGGCACAGTGGCTCATGTCTGTAATTTTAGCACTTTGGGAGGCCAAGGTGGGCGAATCACCTGAGGTCAGGAGTTCAAGATCAGCCTGGCCAACATGGTGGAACACTGTCTTCACTAAAAATTCAAAAATTAGCTGGGCGTGGTGGTACATGACTGTAATCTCAGCTTCTTGGGAGGCTGAGACAGGAGAATCACCTGAACCCAGGAGGCAGAGGCTGCAGTGAGCAGAGATCGTGCCACTGCACTCCAGCTGGGCAACAAAAGTGAGAATCAGTCTCAAAAAACAAAAAACAAACAAAAAAACATGAGCATTGCACACAACTGTTGCCAGTTGGTGCCAATAAGCGTTAGTTTACATATACAGATGTAGTCAATTACTGAACAATTACCATGGTTTTTCCTGGTCTAATATCATTGTGCAGTGACCAAGGAATGGGATTTCTCTGTGGCCATCTGAGGTGACTTCTATCTAGCTCATTCTCAGCTTCCAAATGTATATACCACCTCCCTGAAATGACTATTTATTTATTTTGAGACAGTGTCTCACTCTGTCACCCAGGCTGGAATGCTGTGGTATGATCACAGTTCACTGCAACCTCCACCTCCTGGGTTCAAGTGATTCCCAGGCCTTAGCCTTCAGAGTAGCTGGGACTACAGGCTTGTGCCACCATGCCTGGTGATTTTTTTTTTTTTTTTGAGATGGAGTTTTGCTCTTGTTGCCCAGGCTGGAGTGCAATGGCATGACCTCGGCTCACTGCAACCTCCGCCTCCCAGGTTCAAGCAATTCTCCTGCCTCAGCCTCCCGAGTAGCGGGGATTACAGGCATGCACCACCACACCCGGCTAATTTTTTGTATTTTTAGTAGAGATGGGGTTTCTCCATGTTGGTCAGGCTGGTCTTGAACTCCTGACCTCGTGATCCGCCTGCCTCGGCTTCCCAAAATGCTGGGATTACAGGCACGAGTCACTGTGCCCGGTGGCGAATATTTTTTTTTTTTTTTTTTTTTGAGATAGAATCTAGTAGCTCTGTTGCCCAGGCTGGAGTGTAGTGGGGCAATCTCGGCTCACTGCAACCTCCACCTCCTGGGTTCAAGCGATTGTCCTGCCTCAATCTCCTGAGTAGCTGGGAGCCACCTGCCACCACACCCAGCTAATTTTTGTATTTTTAGTAGAGATGGAGTTTCAGTATGTTGGCCAGGCTGGTCTCAAAACTCCTGACCACAGGTGATCTGCCCATCTCGGCCTCCCAAAGTGCTGGGATTACAGGTGTTAGCCACCCTGCCTGGCCCCAACTTCTGTATTTTTAGTAGAGACAGGGTCTTGGTATGGTACCAGGCTGGTCTCAAACTCCTGGCCTCAAGCAATCTGCTGCTTTGACCTCACAAAGTCCTGGGATTATGGTGCGAGCCTCAAAATCGACTATTTAAACTGTGACTTACACATTTCAAAAACAAACCAAAATATTTCCAGCAATTCAAAGGCAGACTATAAAATGGGGGTTAAGGATATGGGATTTCCTGGCACCCTCACCTCACCTGAATGACTTTCTGTGTTTGCTTCTTAGGTTCGCCTGGCCCTAATGCATGCTGAATACTTCATGAACAACGTTAAGATGAATGACTATGTCAAAGACAGTGAGGAATGCAAACCAGTCATCATTAATGCCCTAAAAGCCATGTATGACCTCAACATGAATGGACCCTCTAATTCTGATTTCACCAACCCACTCACCAGACCCCGCTTGCCCTATGCCATCCTCTTTGCAATTGGTGGCTGGAGTGGTGGAAGCCCCACCAATGCCATTGAGGCATATGACGCTCGGGCAGACAGATGGGTGAACGTTACTTGTGAGGAAGAGAGTCCCCGTGCCTACCATGGGGCAGCCTATTTGAAAGGCTATGTGTATATCATTGGGGGGTTTGATAGTGTAGACTATTTCAATAGCGTTAAGCGTTTTGACCCAGTCAAGAAAACTTGGCATCAGGTAGCCCCAATGCACTCCAGACGTTGCTATGTCAGTGTGACAGTCCTCAGCAATTTTATTTATGCCATGGGAGGATTTGATGGCTACGTGCGTCTAAACACTGCTGAACGTTACGAGCCAGAGACCAATCAATGGACACTCATCGCCCCCATGCACGAACAGAGGAGTGATGCAAGTGCCACAACGCTCTATGGGAAGGTAAAGGACCCGGGTGGGAGGGTGCAAAGTACAAGCCCAGAAATGATGCTGTTCTTTTTTGGGGTGGGTGGAAGATGAAGTGGCAGTATTCACTTTGCAGTACTCATTCTTCCTTCAACTAAGTGACCCAGCTGCAACTGTCTTATTTTTGCTTATTAAAAAGTAATTCGGCCGGGCCCAGTGTCTCATGCCTGTAATCCCAACACTTTGGGAGGCCAAGGTGGGGGAACCACCTGAGGTCAGGAGTTCGAGACCAGCCTGGCCAACATGGTGAAACCCTGTCTCTACTAAAAATACAAAAATTAGCCAGGCGTGGTGGCACACACCTGTAATTCCAGCTACTCAGGAGGCAGAGGTTTAAGTGAGCCAACATAGCTCCATTGCACTCCAGCTCAGGCAACAGACTCCACCTCAAAAACTAAAAAATAGGCCAGACGTGGTGGCTCATGCCAGTAATCCTAGCACTCTGGGAGGCCAAGGTGGGTGGATTACCTGAGCTCAGGAGTTCGAGACCAGCCTGGGCAACATGGTGAAACCCCGTCTCTACTAAAATACAAAAAAATTGGCCGGATGTGGTGGTGTGTGACTGTAGTCCCAGCTACTCAGGAGGCTGAGGCAGGAGACTTGTTAGAACCCAGGAGGTGGAGGTTGCAGTGAGCTGAGATCGCACCACTGCACTCCAGCCTGGGCGACAGAGCAAGATTCCGTCTCTAAAAAAGTAAATTGAAGGCCGGGCGCGGTGGCTCAAGCCTGTAATCCCAGCACTTTGGGAGGCCGAGGCGGGTGGATCACGAGGTCGAGACCATCCTGGCCAACATGGTGAAACCCCGTCTCTACTAAAAATACAAAAAGTTAGCTGGGCGTGGTGGTGCGTGCCTGTAATCCCAGCTACTCAGGAGGCTGAGGCAGGAGAGTTGCCTGAACCCAGGAGGCAGAGGTTGCGGTGAGCCGAGATCGCGCCATTGCACTCCAGCCTGGGTAACAAGAGTGAAACTCCGCCTCAAAAAAAAAAAAAAAAAAAAAAGTAAATTGAGATTGTACAGACCGGGATTAAGTGTCCCCTACCACCACACACATATCCTTTCTTTCTATTCCCTAGAGGTGGAAATTTTAATAATCTTGGAACTCTTCACACAGGTCTACATATGTGGTGGGTTTAATGGAAACGAGTGCCTGTTTACAGCAGAAGTGTACAACACTGAAAGTAATCAGTGGACGGTCATAGCACCCATGAGAAGCAGGAGGAGTGGAATAGGCGTGATTGCTTATGGAGAACATGTATATGCGGTAAGTTTATCTAGTACTACAAAAACACATGCACATATTACCCCTAGATTTTGTATTAGTAAATGGGTTTATGCTATTATTGTGAAGTATCTGAAGAGCTTTTTTTCATGGAAGAGGGAGTTATGAAATCACTGGTACCCCAAATAAGGGCCTCCTCAGTGAACAGTATCAATGGTTAGCAGCCAACGGTGTTTCTTTTGCTATCCACAGGTAGGTGGCTTTGATGGAGCGAATCGCCTTAGGAGTGCAGAAGCCTATAGCCCAGTGGCTAACACTTGGCGCACAATCCCCACTATGTTTAATCCTCGTAGCAATTTTGGCATCGAGGTGGTGGACGACCTCTTGTTTGTGGTGGGTGGCTTCAACGGCTTTACCACCACCTTTAACGTTGAGTGCTATGATGAAAAGACCGACGAGTGGTATGATGCTCATGACATGAGCATATACCGCAGTGCTCTGAGCTGCTGTGTGGTACCAGGGCTGGCCAATGTTGGGGAATATGCAGCTAGACGGGACAACTTCCCAGGATTAGCACTGCGAGATGAAGTAAAGTATTCTGCTTCGACAAGTACCCTACCTGTATGAGCCTCTTCATTTAGCTAATAAAAAGTCTAAGCAATAAGAATTAATTCCTTTTTTTTTTTTTTTTTTAAATAAATGCAGTGTTTAAACTTTGAAGAGTACTGGAAAATGTTCAGCTGAAGGGAGTGATGGATGAGGGGGCGGGAGGGAGGGAAGAAGGCAATGATATCCAGCAGTGCATAATTAAAGAAGAAAAACCACATGGTACAAACCAGCTTTAAAGAAGCATGTTTATTTAAAACTTACACTGAGACAATTAGTAGCTTTAACAGAGAACAAGATAGCTTCATGAACATAAAACGAGCTATTTTACAAAGTAATGTCTCAAGGTGTTCTAAATACTACATCTCCTCTAACTTAAAGGGAGATAGTGAAGATTGTATTTTCAATAGAGTAGGGACCTGGATACTACTAGCCCAAAAAACTCACTGCATCAACTCAAACTAAATGTTTATTTTACAAATAACAAGCCCAAGCAGATGGATCATAAAATCTTCAAACATCTAGCAAGCACTACTTCCCACGACTGCATTACGCAGGAGGATTAACAAATGCTCTACAGTCTGTCTGTGCTTCAACGTTAAGACATTTGTAGTGATGGTCACTGAGTAAGACAAAAAAAAAGCCCTACAAATGTAATCAACAAACAGCAGTGATTTTGCCATCTAATTAAATTCCTTGAAGCAAAATCACTACTAGGTTATATTACTGTTATTATATTACATCACAACTATGAGCTGTTCTGTTTCCAATGACCAGAACATACATTATAATAACAAAAACAAAAAATGGACTATTCTCAAGAAAGTAACAAACTGGAGTGATGAACTGTGCCAAAATGTTTCAGAGATCAGGTAAGACTGAATTGTTTCTCAAGTATTTTACAGTTAAAGCACCCTCTGGTATAGACAGAGTACTTGCTTTACAATAATGTATACTTTCAAAGACATGAAATGTGGCCAGTATATATTTAAACTTGAGAAAAGTACCCAAAGAAAGGTCCCTTTAGTTATGCTTAAGACCAAATAACTAAAATATACAATTCAGCTTATTTGTCTACATATATAGTGTTGTTATTAGAATTACGAAGCAGAAAATGAAGAATTTTAAAACACACCACATGCTACACTAGTCAAGAGGTAACGAGGAAAAGTGAGCCCTAGAAACTGCCTTACCAGCAGCCTGATGGGTTTTAAAACACAAAAGCACACAAATCTTCCATAAACACTATCTTTCCAGCTTCAAATTTCTGTTCCATATTAAAAAAGTATATTTAAATTTTTTGGTCCCAGGAATACTATATAAAACCGGGTGATCAAAACAAAACTGATGTCATGAATTTTAAGAGTTTTTAGCAAAAAAGTTATTTTTGAACTGGCACAGCAAAAACAAAGTTGAATATCAAGATACACAAGACTAATCATGCAAACAACTGTAAGTGGGATGTGTTACTTAAACACTAAGCTCATGACTGACATTCTCAATATACACCACTGATTTTTTTAAGCCATGGTGGGGTAGATATAGTTCAAGGATACCCATTCTAAGATATAAGTAGCCTCACTCAAAGTTATATATACATATTATTTTTTGGTATAATGACTTCCTCTCTCTTCTACAAACATAAGCAAAAGCAACAGCAACAAAACAAAGGTTTGCTTGAACACACATTAAGCTGTCTTTCTAAAGTCATGTTTTTAACTGCTTACATTACCAAAAACCATCTTTTAAGTTTTCATCAAAAAGGAAATTTCTTTCCCAAGGAGCTATTTTAGGCCTGATCCTTGTAATTAGAATCTTTCCGAATACTCTGGCAAGTTATTTCCAGTTTAGAATTTCAGAATGTCAGCCTTGAACAATTTAAGCAAATCTGGTTTCTTTCCTTATTAACAAGTTAGTTAGGATATTTCAGAAACACAAGTTATTGATGTGACATCACACATGTGAATTCAAATATAAAAATCAGAAATTCCAGAAAACCTGCACACATCATCATGCAATGAAGGACTTACCCCTTCTTTTCAGCCATGGCCTAGGCTGCCTGCTAAGTTAAAAAACAACAGTTTCAATAAAGGTTTTAAAACCAGATTATGCCTAAATCTTATGAGTTATAATTTTTGTCATACCATATGAAAAAAACACAACCCCACCAAAGACTTGGTAATGATTATCTCAGAAGACAACTCTGAGAACAACAACAAAAAAAAACACATCACACCCTTCTAGTGAAAAACTATCGTAGTGAGATATTAAATTATTTAAACACAAGAAAAGTAAGTTTGCTAGCATAGTCTATTGGAGAGAAATGAGAACTTTATTCAATGAGCTTCACTTAATGATTCACTCTTACTTGCATAGACCTCTCACAACTAGGAATTAGTGCTTCTCAGAATCCAAATGGCTTTTATTAAAATGACTACAAAGAAATGGAAATTGAGAAAAAGGTAGTGGTGGGGTAGGATAATATATCCCTTATATGTAGAAATAGACTTGCAATTTCCCACGCCCACTCCAGTCTAAATTAAAGGGATTTAATGTTGATTTTCAACTTTAACACATTACACATTTATTAAAAACTTTTATCCTAGGCAGAGATACTAATTTAAAAATTTCAAGTTCTTAGTATAGACCCAAGAGCTAAAACTATTAGTCTTGCAGCAAATAGCCAAAATTTCTGGTTGTGCTTTTCTCTTTCGGTATTTGATCACTAACAAGAAGGTTAACTATAATGGACTAGGAAAAAAAAATGACTGCACTTGGAATTTGACTTCTAGAATGGTATTCCAAAATGTCTAAGAAGGTAAAGATATTCCTTAAGAAACAGGATAAATCACTGGGCAGGTGGCTCTTTGGGAGGCCAAGGTGGGAGGATTGCTTGAGGAAAGGAGCTTGGGACCAGCCTGACCAATAAGGTGAGACCTCATAGCTTAAAAAAAAATAAAAATAAAAAACAAGAAAACTACATTGCAAACTGTTAGGAATCCCTTATACCAAATGGGCACTAGGAGTCAATTTGAGGCCAGGCATGGTGGCTCACATCCGCAATCCCAGCATCTTGGGAGGCCGATGGGGTGGATCTCCTGAACCCAAGGGTTTGAGACTAGCCTGGGCAACGTGGTGAAACCCCATCTCCACCAAAAATACGAAGAAAAAAAAAAAAAAAATCAGCTGGGCATGGTGGCACATGCCTGTAGTCCCAGCTACTCAGTAGGCTAAGGTGGGAGGATGGCTTGCGTCCAGGAGGTGGAGGTTGTAGTGAGCCAAGATCGCACCCCTGCACTCCAACTTGGGTGACAAAGTGAGACCCTATCGCAAAAAAAAAAAAAGTCAATTTGAGTGCTAACTTTATTATAAAGTTCAGAAGACAGAGAATTAGAACAATGTATAAAACTAAATAAAAGATAACTTCAGTGATCTTTTTAAATTTTTATTTGAGACAGCATCTGTCACCTAGGCTGGAGTATGGTGGCATGATCATGGCTCACTACAGCCTCAACCTCCTGGGCTCTGGTGATGCTCTCTTCTTGGCCTCAAGTAGGAGGGACTACAGGCCCGTGCCAGCCACCATACTCAAGCTAACTGTTGTACTTTCTGTAGAGACAGGGTCTTGCTATGTTCCCCAGGCTGGTCTTGAACTCCTGAGCTCAAAATCTGCCCCCCTCAGTTTCCCCAAAGTGCTGGGATTACAGTCGTGAGCCAGTGTGCCCAGCCCATAAATCTTTAGGAGCCAAAATTATGTACCCAAATTTGGTATCCTAGGCTCAGGCAAAGTTTAAAAGTGTAGAGCAACTAGATAAAATATAACAATCAGGGCCAGAAATAATAAGGCTTCTCTTTAGCAACATTTCTCTAAATTGTGACTTCTTTCCCATTTTGAAAAAAAGTTTTTGTAGAAAGTAATAATGGGCCAGGCGTGGTGGCTCAAGCCTGTAATCCCAGCACTTTTGGGAGGTTGAGGCAGGACTACCTGAGGTCAGGAGCTCAAGACCTGCCTGGCCAACATGGCAAAACCCTGTCTCTACTAAAAGTAGAAAAATTAGCTGGGCGTGGTGGTGGGCGCCTGTAATCCCAGCTACTCAGGAGGCTGAGGCAGAAGAATCACTTGAACCTGGGAGGCGGAGGTTGCAATGAGCCGAGATTTTTCCACTGCACTCCAGCCTGGGTGACAAGAGCAAGGCTTTGCCTTAAAAAAAAAAAAAAAAAAAAAAAATGCTGGGCAAGGTGGCTCATGCAATCCCAGCACTTTGGGAGGCCGAGGTGGGTGAATCACTTGAGGTTAGGTGATTGAGAAAATCTGGCCAACATGGTGAAACCCCGTCTCTACTAAAAATACAAAAATTAGCCAGGCATGGAGGTGCACGCCTGTAATCCTACTTGGGAGGCTGAGGCAAAAGAATCGCTTGAATCTCCTGGGAGGCAGAGGTTGTAGTGAGCTGAGATCGAGCCACTGCACTCCAGCCTGGGCCACAGAGTGAGATTCCATCTCAAAGGCAAAAAAAGGGAATAATGAAAATTCTATATAATATGCATTAGAGCAAAAATTAAAATGGAAGGCATTGAGTGTCGATTGTCATAGGCATTATTTACACTCATTAACATATCCTCAAATTATCCTGCAACTCCTGAAAAAAAGTGTTTAAAAAATGTTTTAAATGCCTTTCTCAGTCTACACTAATACTTTTCTTCTTAGAGAAACAAAGTTCACACATGTGACCTGCTGTGTATTTAGTCAATCAGCTAAAGATTTATACTTTTGCCAACTACCCTCACCTCAGACCGAAGGCTTAAAGTCTATAAACAGCTGCTAATGAAAAATATTCAAAAATGCATGAGCCAATCACAAATTTCTCATCAGTCACATCTTCTAGAAATGAAAATAGCATTTCTAGATAAACATAAGAAAGTATCAATGCAAACATTCTCAAACCATCTTGCTGAAATATTGAGCATTTTCATCCAAATTTCAGTCTCACTATTGCACATGCCTCCTGCAGATGAGGGCTCAATGCATAAGTCCGATCTTGCCAAAACCAATCATTTCATGAAAAATGAGAAAG